TTTGTACCTGGCAATATATTCAGTGAAAAATTTTTTGCTTTTAGAAACTACAAAATTAAATAGATTTTTACTCTCTTTACTTTTCCTTAGGACACTCTTTTTAAATTGTTTATTGGTTTAACTTAGATATACATAATCATCTTATTCATCACAGGTAATTTTTTTTGTCTTTTTTTCATTTTTATTGGTACCAGGGATCGAACTCACGACTGCCTGCTTGCAAGACAGGTGCTTATGCCACTGAGCTAAATCCCCAGCCCCTCATCATAGGTAATTTATACCTGTATATAACATATCATGCTTTTTTTTCCAATCCCCCTTTTAATCCCTCTTCCTCTCATTTCACTCTTGAAGGAGAAATAGATTTTTAAATTATAAAACCAAGTAGAAAGTGCATCATTTTAAAACTTTTTTTTCTTTTTCATTTTTATCGGTACCAGGGATCGAACTCATGACCGCCTGCTTTCAAGGCAGGTGCTTATGCCGCTGAGCTAAATCCCCAGCCCCATCATTTTAAAACTTTAAAAAATACAAAAAGAAAACAGAATGTGTCCATATTTGTGATGCTATAATATACAATATTTTCTGCTTGAATTATGTCTGAGAAATTTTTGCTGCCATCAGACCACCAACAAAAAGCTCTACTAATTTATATTTGGGAAAGTTCCCTTTCATCTTTTATGTTTAGAACAAAATTGAACTTGAATTTTATTTTTGCGTATTGTGGTGGTGACCACATTTTAGTGTTCTGCCATGTAGATAGCACTGATGCTCAATATAAATACGCTACATAATGCACTGTTTATTGAACTGTCAATACAACCTTTATTTTGGTGTGTGTGTGTGTGTGTGTGTGTGTGTGTGTGTGTGTATGTGTGTGTGTGTGCATGTGTTGAATTAATTTAATCATTTTGTTTCTTTGGACTATTTGCTTATTGCTGGCCCAATACCACATTGGCTGAATAAAATAAGTACTTCCTTAATGACTAGTATGGAGTGTCCACTGGATCTAAGGGGATTTGTGGGGAGAGTTCTGGATTTGCCAAAGAGATTAAAGTGTGCCCTTGAGCCTGTCTCTTTCCTGGCCCCATCTCTCTAGCACTTGTGTCCTGCTCTGTTTCCCAGCTACCATGATGAAGTAAGCAGCTTCTCTACACTATGCCCTTCATCTATCATGTTTCTGCATTGGAGACAGCAGATCATAGAATGAATCCCCCTAAAACTTTAGCTGCATTAAACTTCTCCTCATATGACGGTTAGTATGGCTATACTGTGTATGACCAATGGAAAAGCTGACTAACACAGTTTCTTTTCACTCTTCTTTCAAAGGTTCCTTGACTATTCTAAACCTTTTGTGTTTTCATATAACATTTAGAATAAGGTCATTTATTTCTACCTATTACAAAACCTGCTGATGTTCTAACACAAATTGCGTTCCAGTTTGTGAATTTTCCAATCTATAAGCCAATTTGCACATGCAAATCTTCTCCAGTTTTTTACATTGACCTTGAATCCAGAGTTTTGGCAAAGTTATTTCTCATTGCCTTAATTTCAATTCAGTTCTCTTATTGAGTTTATGAATATTCAACATTTACTTTTGTGTTTTCAATAGTAACACTTTATATTCTCCATTTTAATTCTTAAGCTTTTTGTTACTTGCTGACATATTGTTAACTAGTTCTTGAGTCAGCACATTAGGCTTATTTTGTAGGTCAAATGGAATTCTTTTAACCTTCACCATTATATATGATGTTTGGGAAGGTCTTATGGAAACTTCCTTATGGACTAAAGGAATTCTTTTGTATTTGAAATTTGCTAAGTCTCTGAATGGGATAAATCCTGAATTTTACCTTCATGGTGGGGTTTTACTTTCACTATTATGCACGGGATCCCCTCTGTGCTTTTACATTCTATGGAATATGAGATTTTTAATTTTGGTTTCTATTCACTTGAAACATTTTCAATTAGTTCATTTTGTGTGTGTCTGTGTGTGTGTCTATGGGTGCAGGGGATAATTCATTTAGACTTTTTAGTTGTAACTCATAAGAATTTTACAATTTTGCCTTTTTGTTTTTCATCTAATATGGTGATTTACCTTTAATATCTTACATTCCACTTAATGCGATGTATGCATGGACATTTTTCACTAGCTTACTTTGTGTATTCTGTTTATCAAAAAATAACAAATACATTGCTTGTTTTCTTTTTCCTTTGTGGCAAATACTTATAGGTGGATTGCTAATTCTTTTTTTTTCTTTTAATTAAGTTTAGTGGTACAATTTAGACTCTCAAAATAATCACATTCATGATAGGGAATTTGTACCTGTCCGTGAAGTATCTTTGTTCCTCTCTTTTCCCTGTTCTTTTCCTCTCTCTTCAACCCTTCTTCCCCTCCTTGAAAGAAAAAGAAAAAAAATGAAAAGGAATTGCTAATTCTTTTATTTTATTTACCTCCTAATTTTAGAAACCACATATTCTGTGTATCTTCTATGATACCCACTGATTTGTAATCATCATTTTCAATAAAAATATTTAATAAACTTGTCACTCAGAATTTAAATTCTCATCAAAAATCTTAATGCTCTTTATTTAACAAACTTCTCTTATTATTAACTTATATCTATAAAAGATTTAATTTTACCTCTTAATTTTTATTGATTATAGAAATTACCAAGTTTTTAAATATGATAGCATTTTATATATAAGTACTATATGTCATTATATTTACATTATATATAATTAACTTTGGGTTCATTTTTATGCTTACTGAAGAACATTTTTTCTTTCTTTCCTTTTATTTTAATTTTTTTTTTTTTTGAGACAAAGTCTGTCTGTGAAGTCCAGGCTGGTCTTGAACTCACAATGTAACCCAGGCTGGCCTCAAATTCAGTGGTCCTTTCTGCCTCAGTCTTTTGAGTACTGGAATTACAGGCATGCACCATGGAGTATTTTTAATAGTTTATTAAAAGTCTACAGGTCTTTTAAACCTAATTTCTGTGATCTATGATGGTTTACTTTTCTCTCATTCATTCTGGAAAGTCCTAGTTTAAATAAGTTTTTGCAATTCTGGGGATGGGACTCAGGGTCTCACACATGGCAGGCAAGCTCCCTGCCACTGAGCCTTATCCTGGCCAAATGTAACATTTTAGAATAACAACTCTGCCCATTTTTACCACACTAGTACTAGTAACTTCTTATTTCTTGAGATCTTTTCACTAGTGAGAATTTTCTGTCAGCTAAATCACTGTTACTATTTGATAATTGTTGGCTAGTAACTTTTAATATTTCCCCTTACTCAGAAAGCTTAACCTGTAAAAGTGTCTAATAGAGCCTCTTTAAGGGACAAATGAAATTATAGCTTTTATGAAAATCAAAAAGTGTATGAAGCAAAAAAGCATTCCAATGAATCAAGAGCTGTATATTTATGTTTATGTTTATATTTATACTTATACAGCATTAGATCTAAAAAACATCTTTTCTGCTGATTTTTAAAGTTGTGCAGTAGTTTCTTACTTTAAAGGTATATAACTGATCTCCTTTATAGGCTAACTTGTTCTCATGACCAATTTGTGTATATTGCTAATTTGTGGAACATTTAGTAAATATTACACCTTCATTAATCTATTGGAAAGTCCTAATCATTTCTATGTTAGATTTTCTGAAAGATTGTTCTGCATATATAATTTAATCTTGAATGAATTTATTTGCCAACTATTTTGTTTTTGCTTTTGGGCATGAAATTTGTGTGTTTTGAAACAAATGTATTTTTAATCACATTTTGAATAAAGTTTTACTTTTCATTATTGGATTAACTTTAGTTTGGTTTTACTGTCCTTTCTTTCTTTCTTTCTGGCTTACAGCTTTCAGTTCTCTTTCTTCTTTACCTGGCTCCGTGGACCCCCCTCATACAAAACCTATTCTAATGGAGGTGTCTCTTTGCTTGGTTATGACATTACAGATATTAAATATACCTAGCATTTCAGTGCATGTCTGCAGTGTATAGTGTTTACAGTCCTCATGTGCAGTTGGTACATGTGCATAGCACATCTTTATGCACTTTCTATCACTTTTCCCCCTTCCTCCCTCTTCCTCCTAAAATGAGAAATTCCATTTCACCCAGATATTGCCCATCTAAATATCTTCCCAAAACAGTTACACTCACCCTATTACAGTGGTACATGCATACCCGTGTTCATAGCTGAACAACTACTAACAGTTGTGTCTGGGAAGTAACGTGTATACACTCTTTTATCTAGCAGTTCAATAACGGAGGTAATTTCTTTTCATGGGCCCAGTGCAAGCCCTTAGGTTCAGACGATCACACCAACCCCCTATCTCTCAATAACTTGCTTCAATCTTATGAAATCTGAGCTCCATCTATTACTGTCTGCCTCACATACTTGGAGCACACTATATTTTTGTTTTTTTTTGTTGACTGTTTTGGAGTAATTACTTTAACTCTGGTTATACATTTGAGGCTTTATAATTTTTTCCTCATATCCACATTTTAAAGTGGAATTTAGGAATCCATCTTGAGCACAAAAGCACTTTTTCCTGATCTGAACATGTATTTATTACCATAAGTTCAACAATAAAATCTTTAGTGTCTAATTTCTGGGAGAAATAGGCACGTGGAAATAGTGGTTTAGTGAAACAGCATTTGTCTGGATCTCTGTCTTTAATAACTAAGCTCACTATTGCTTACAAGTGTAATGAAATGACAAACCTAGTTTTTAAAACTTGTCACAGATCTTTATTCTCTGATATGAAATATAAAAATTCTTAATATTGATTAATAATTGACTGGAAAATATCTCTCAAATTCAAATTTGGAAGTAAGCACAACAGTAGACAGTGCACTAGATGTTCCCATACATTACTGCTTTGTGGCCTCTAGCATATATTCAAACTACAGAATCAATATATCTTTGGTTTTTTTGGTGCTTTCTGCCTTTTGATTCTGAACTTTAGTGCATCCGAGCATTTATCGTCACAAGAACATGTGTGACAATCAGACTCAGATCTCTGAAGTCATCCTTCTGGGATTTCAGATTGACCCAGCCCTGGAGTCCTCTTTGGATTCTTCTTACTATTCTACAGCCTCACTCTGATGGGAAAGGGGATCATTCTGGAGCTCATCTGCCTGGACTCAAGGCTGCATACCCCCATGTACCTCTTCCTCTCACACCTGGCCGTTGTGGACATGTCCTATGCTTCAAGCACTGTCCCAAAGATGCTGGCAAATCTCGTGATGCACAGGAAGGCCATCTCCTTTGCTCCATGCATACTGCAGACATTTTTGTATTTGTCTTTCGCTGTGACAGAGTGCATGATGTTGATGGTGATGTCCTATGACCGGTATATAGCCATCTATCACCCTTTGCATTCCATCCTTATCATGAGCTGGAGAATGTGCACCATCCTGGCTGCCACTTGCTGGATATTTAGTTGCATCTTGGTCTTGGTCCATATCATTCTTATTCTGAGGCTTCCCTTTTGTGGGCCACAAAAATCAACCACTTTTTCGTCAAATCATGTCAGTTTTTAAATTGGCCTGTGCTGACAGGAGACTAAACTACATTGTCCTCTTTATGGGTTCAGTATGTGTCTTGGTGAGGCCCTTGTGCCTGGTGCTGGTCTCCTACACCTGCATTCTGCATTCCATCCTGAGGATCCAGTCAGGGGAGGGCAGCAGAAAGGCCTTCTCTACCTGCTCCTCCCACGTCTGTGTGGTGGGGCTCTTCTCTGGCAGTGCCATAGTCATGTATATGGCTCCCAGATCTCCTCATTCTCAAGAGCAGAGAAAGATCTTTTCACTGTTTTACAGCCTGTTGAACCCCACACTGAACCCTGTGATCTGTAGCCTGGGGAATGCAGAGGTGAAATGTGCTTTAAGAAGAATTCTTTGGAAACAGAGATCAATGTGAAAGATGATTTGGGGTACCCCAAGCATGTGAAATGTGGTCATGATCCCAGGTGGTTGAATTTACTACTGAGGCCTTTAAGATATAAAGCAGTGTGATTTATCTTTGTATTTCATTTAAAATGAGAAAATATTCACATTATGGATAGCATACCTGAGGGAAACATTCTGAAACAAAAATCACAGTCCAATCATATTCATTAAATAGATCAAATGTCTTAAGAAAATGTAAGTAAAGAAGTCTAGTAAGTAAGAACACATTATGATGAAATTGTTTATATTCCAGACTACTGCATTTGCTTAATATTAAAGAAAATAATAAAATAGTTAATTACATTAACAAATTAAGTGTACATATTGTATGTTCATTATAATGGATTCAAAAAAGTGCTTGGCAAAGCTCAATATCGGTTTGGGGTAAAATTCTGTGCAACACAATATAGTAAGCTTTTTAAAAAAGAAAATCTACTTCCCCCAAAATCATAGTTATTGCTGAAATGTAAAGATCTTTCCTTATCAGGTAAGAAATATGATAAAAATGGTACTTTGATCTCACTTTTTACAGAAGGTCCTCAAAGGACAAGTGCATACCAATGCAACTATACATATACCCACTGTTGTACTCCACTCAAAAAACAAGGCCCCATGATGAAAAATGGGGCAAGACCCCAAGATGACAAATGGGGCAAGACATCTTTTAAAAAGAAGCGCTTTTATTTTAGCTGGCCCAGCGACACTGTGCAGATAGAATTTGCAAAGCTGTGCAACTGAGTTAGAGTTTTGACTGATTTTTATAGTTCATTTATGATTAGCTCATTGATCATTAAGTACATAGTGATGAGAAACAGAAATAAGGTGGGCCTTTGTTCCCCTTTGCTTGAGGTCAGAGGCATTTCACAGTGGGTGGTTAGCCAATTCATAGCCCTTGGTCTGCCAATTCCAGGAATATTTGTCTCTCATAAAGGGAACAATGGTTGACACAGCATCATTTGTCTCTTACAAGGGGAACAAAAGTTGACATAGCACACAGGTCACTAAGGTGGGGGGGATGATGCATTACAGAACAGCAGAACGTCACGGTCAGTTAATTTATAACTATGTGGTTGGTGCTTGGTTACTAGGGTAATGAGCTCAGTACAGAATGACAATATTACTAATAACTATATTTTTAAGTAACTATTTTTGTTATTTATTTTTAATCAATTATTTTAATTTTTAGCATCTTAGTATAACACCCACATTTTTGAGAAAAAAGAACAAATTATAACTACATGCAAATTGCATGATTTGCAAAAATCCAAGGGACTCTTTAGATAGCTTATTAAAATTGTAAGAAATTTTAATAAAATAGTGTCATAGCTTATGTTGGTGGCCCCCAGGCCTCATGTGTTTTCATTGTGCTCTTGTTGGTTCATTGTCTAGAGCTTGGATTGATGGTGTCAGTGCCTATGGGTGGAGCCAGTATACAACATAATGGCTGGAAGTAGGCTTGTCTCTCACTCTCTTGTGGGTTTCTGCCTTGCTGTTTGCAATGGCCATGAACTGTTGCCCCGCCATGCCACACTGTCTTGGAGCCAACTGAGCATGGACTGAAACCTCCAAAAACTGTAAGAAATAAATCTTTCCTTTCCCAACTTTTAGCATCCGGTATTTTGTCTCAGTGATCAGTAAAAAGTAACTAAGACAAATAGCTTATTATGAAACAAATGTGGAAAACCTATTTTACAGCAATGAAAATCAATTATAATAAAACTTTACAAAATGCTACCATATATGCTAACATTTCATTTTGAAGTCTTCAGAATAATTAATAAAGGCTATATGAAATATAAAGATCTAACTAGAAAAATTAATTTTGAAATTATAACTAGAAAAATACTAAATATGGGCTATGCTTGCTTCTTGAATTAAAAACATAGCTTTATGAATTATCTCCACAATTTGATTATAGATTTCATAAAATTCTGATGAATATTTTACATACCCTCTCAGAATGCAAAAATAAGTACTAATTTTAAAAGGCAGCAGAGAAATCTCACTGAAATTCTATTGAAAAGTAAGTGATGGATTTGATCCTCCAGATTGCCAAGCCCTTATATGCTGCTCATAAGTACAATAGTGTGTTATGTATACAGGGATGAACAAATAAAGCAAACCTAATATTATTTAAATCATGATGCAGATCTATGTCCTTATTAGCATTTGCTCTGTGTGACACATGTCATGGCAGATCAACGCAGAAGCGAAGCACTTTTGCAGTAAATGGTGCTGAGACAACTGAATATCCATAAATATAATCAAATCATGCAAAAAATGTCAGCTTTTGGTGCATCCAAGACTTCACATGAGAAAGGCAAAAGGGTAAGTTTCTAGGATATATAAAATAGAAGGAGCTTTAAAATAATACACAAAATCACTATTGCAAAATAACATATCAAACTCCAGAATTTTTAAATTGCACTAAGATAAAGGGACAAATTTAATTGGGTTGAATTTGTAAATTTCCATTAATCAAAAAGAGCATGAAAAGAGTGAAAGAGGCCACAAAAGTCTTCTCCTAGCAGATCTTATAACTTACCAGTCCCTGAGCACCTCCTCAGAGATAGAAGCCCATTTCATACAGTCACTGACCCTCTTAGGTAGGCAACTTTGTATCCCAGCCCTCCTGGTTGTCTGTTTCACGCTGGAGGTAACTGTAGCTCTTTCGTGTATTTGTTCATGTGTTTACCGTGACTTCTCTGCCTCTAATATGGAAGGTCACTAGCGGTATAAACTGGGCAGAGGTCATAGCTGTGTCTAGTCTAGAGACACCCTTAAGTACCCTTCGAAGAGGAGGATAAACATCACTCACCTGAAGATGCACACAAATTAAGAGGAGACTTTCATTTTTGTTTTATTCCACTGAGATAGACAAGAAGCACCTGAGTCTCCCTTTCCCTGTGAGCACTCTATTGTCAATAACTGAGGGGTTGAGCCACTCTGTTACTGAAGGGAATCCATATGTCTTTCAAACTAGTGACTACAAATTGCCATAAGAGTGTTGGAAGGAGGATGTGTTTCACAAATGTAACTCATAGGAAACTAAACTAAAAGATTTTATTTCTCAAAATGATAATCAAGAGGTCTGATGATGAAGATGGCCTTAGCACTGGACTTGAAAAAATTCAAATTAGCAGAGCTGGGGGGTGGAGAGTAAAGCATTTCATTGAGAAGGAATGCCAGGAGTCATTATATAAACTAGCATTTTGCAAAGGTTAAGATAACAGTAGAATGAAATTGGATTTTTAAAATTCCAAAATCACTATAAAGTAAAGAATGAGTGCTACAGACATAGCTCAATATCTGAGCACTTGCCAAGCACCTATGGGGCACTAGGTTCAATCTTCAGTACTAAAAAGGAATAAAAACAGAAAGTTGACCTGGTTTTCAATATGGTAGATTTGCCATTTTTCAATTTTTGTTTACAGTGGGATTTTTTTTTACCATAGTAATATCTAAAATTGATCAAAGAACCAAATGGAAATTTTTTTTATTTCTTTGTCCTCTTCTTGTATCATAAAAAATACTTTGCAAAAGAACTCCCTTTCAGATTTGTTTTCTTGCATTTCTTTGGCCATACTTGAGTCCCTATCCTTAAAACACTTACTGATAAAGAAGTTAAAATTAAGTGCTTGGCTTAGATTAATCATAGTTCAATCCCTTGTGGCTCCATATGAGGACAACTTTATCTGATAAATTTGCCTCCTGGTCTTTTTAGAAAATCAGAACAGGATCAGCAAGGAAATGGGTGATGGCCATTGGGCAGACAATTGGCTTCTCTGCTCAGTGACTTAAGCTCAGAATGCAGACTTCAGCAATGTTTATCGGCTGTTTCCCTAAGCCCCATAATCTAGTTTGTGTCTGACACATTCCTGATGTGTGATAGAGGCTGATGAAGGAACATGCTGGCCGCAGGCACCAGCTCTTCAGCTCCTGTGAGAATGTAATGGCATGCTGTGGACTTGTTAATAAACCCAGGCATAAAACCAGGGCAGCAACTTCTGCAAAAGGCTGATGCCATGAAAGGCAATGCACCAGCTTGAGGCACCCTGTCCCTAGAACATCAGCAAGGTAACAGGGGTTAAATACTCGATTTGCCTCACATTTTCTTCCACCTGGCCTTCTAGGTATTTCTAGGCACAATTATAACACTTATAACTGCAAGCAATAAGGATAATATTTACTAGTCCCCTTTTCTTTTCACAGTGTGGATTTTTTCGAAGCTCACTGCTGTTCCTGATCTCCAACATGTTCGGTGATCCATTCACTCCAACTTCCCTCCCAGATGTTTTTAAAGAGCTTCAGGTCTCCTCCCCAAACTGTTTGCCCCCCAGTGATCCCATCTGCCTGTATCCTCAGTGGACCCCACAGCTCATTAATCTCATCACATCCTATTGCCTCTTGGCTTTTTTCCATCTTGGTGGATCACATCCAACAGCAATTTCGTAAGACTGAAATGGTGCACAGCGACTGAAGTGATATTGAAGACAGCCATCAGCATTTCAGAGCTGTATCACTGCTCCTATTATTTTTAAATTATTTTGAAGTTCCCTTATCTCATGTGATAAGGACATTTGAAAAGGAAAAATAAAAGAATCAAGATCTTGCACAGGATTTTTGACACAGAGGTAGCGAAATGGTAAATGGCAGTCAGCAAACACTTCTATTTCAAAAGTGACTTTCATTAATAAGGGTCCACAGTGACAGGACCCTATCCATTTTGTAATATTTCTTCTTTCTAAAATATAAAATGTTCATCAAAAACTTAACACTTATAAGAAGTCCTAGTCACCTATGGGAAATGGTTTTGCTCTCATCATTTCAAAAATCATGATCCATGATTTTATATCCACAATGAGCCATGTTAAGTGCCATTATAGTATCTTCTTTTTTTTATTTAAAGAGAGAAGAAAATAAAGGACATAAAAAAAAAACCAATGCAGTAAAAGGGTACAAATAATACAA